TTGAGAAATATCGTCTTTACATCTATCTGATATAACTCTAAATCGTAATGTGCCACTAATGCCATTATGATTCTGAAGGAATCCTTACATGAGACTGGAGAAAAGGTCTCATTGTAATCAATCCCTTCTCTTTGCGTAAAGCCTTTTGCCACAAGTCTCACTTTATATCTCTCTATATTCCCTTGAGAGTCAAGTTTTGTTTTGTAGACCCATTTACAGCCTACTGTTTTGGCTTCTTTAGGAATTATCTCCAAATCCCAAACTTTATTGGCATTCATAGATTTCATTTCATCTTTCATGGCCTCAAGCCACTTTGATGAATGATCACTTTTCGTGGCTTCTTCAAATGAGGTGGGATCATCCTCCATTTGAAATTCCTCAGTGTTGTACGCTTCATAATCAACAGAAATAGCTGATTTTCTAACTCTTTGAGACCTTCTAGGGCCTTCACATTTGGCACATGTTCTGTTTAAGGCTGTTGTTGCTCCCCCTCATGTGTGGCAATAGGTTCTATAGGATCCTGAAGAACAGGTTCATCATCGTCATTCATTATTGCCACAGGTGGGATAACAACAGGTGCTGGCACCATAGTGTCTTGCAATGTCGGTGCAGCGACAGCAGGTAGTGAAAAAAAGAGCTCATGAATCATTGGAGTTGACGCATACACTCGCTTCACTTTAAGGTCAATTTCTCGAGCTACCATGCTCCCCCTCATCAATTCATCCTCTAGGAAGACAGCGTGTCTCGTTTCCATAACTTTGTATGTCTCTCTGGACAGTAGAAAACGAAAACCTTTTGACTTTTCTGGGTAGCCAAACAAATGGCAACTTACTATTTTGGAATCTAACTTTTCAATGTTTGAGTTAAAATACTTTTGCCTCAGCAGGGCTCCCCCACACACACGCAAGTGGTTTAGTGAGGGTACTCTTTCTGTCCACAACTCATACGGTGTTTTGGGCATCGACTTCTTGATACTCTATTGAGAATATGAATGGCGGTTTTAACGCCTCCATCCACAGGCTCAACTGTAAGGTAGAGTAACTTATCATACTGCCCACCATATCCATCAGGGTACGATTGATTCTTTTAGCTACTCTATTCTGCTGAGGTTCGTCCGGTGTAGAATACTAGGCTACTATGTCATTCTTTTAGGGTATGCCGACCATAATACTCTCCCACGGTCAGACCTGACTATCTTAATCTTTAATATCTTAAATTTATCCAATGCTTCTGTTCTTTTTTTGATTGGATAAATATAGCCATAATGGGAGTAATCATTTGTGAATGTTATGAACGAATTATAACAATCCACACACTTTACAGGAAAATGATCACAGATGTCTGTGTGAATAATCTATAAAATTCCTGCGCTTCGTTTGTCATCTTTCTTTATATAATTTCCTTTTATGCATTCTCTGCATTGTTCTAAATCTCTAAATCTGAGAGCTCTAATGGAGGAAGAATATCATTCTTAACTAGTCTTTCTATTCGCCTCCTCGAAATATGGCCTGAACGACAGTGCCATAATTTCGACGACGCATCTTGAGCTCTCTTATACCATCATTTCCAGAGTAACTCTCTGTCACTAGCTGCTTTATCAGCTGGGTAGCATATATCTTTGAAGAGCCAGTGAACTGACTCTTTATTCTATCGAGGTACTCGGTGACCGTGTCACACTCTGGGATTGAGTCCACAATTACAGGCTCAATCGTGTTCTTTATCACAGCCAAACGTTTCATGTTGGCAGTGACCCACTTCCTATGCTTAAAGTCATAGGACATCTTTTGGGATTCAAAATCCCTTTCTTTAGTTGCCTAATCGGCATCATTCTCTTTTGTCTCCCTCACCGGTACCACATACTTAGTGGGACACGGTGAGTTGACTATCCAGTCCACCTCAGCCAAGATGAAAACCAGGTCAAATATTTTCTTAACATAAAAATAACACCATTTGCATGCCTTGATTCCAACGTTGATCAAAATCAAAACATACAACTGTTCGTATACACTAATTCTACATCACCGTTGGGCAGAAATAGAATTATTGTATAAAATCATTAAAATTCACAATTGTTCTTACACATTAATTCTACATCATCGTTGGGCAGAAATAGAATTAATGCATAAATCATTAAAAATTTACAACTGTTCTTATACACTAATTCCGCAACACCGTTAGGCAGAAGTAGAATTAATGCATAAATCATTAAAATTATGATATTGTTATTAACAACATTGGTCAGAAAATAACAACATCATAATCATGTCAAAACTCTTTTTCTCCAATTAAATATCACATTGGTTCAAATAAATGGAGAATAAACATTTTCTTTAGCAGCGGAAAAACTTTCTTTTTCTCCAATTAAATATCACGTTGGTACAAATTAACTGGAGGATAAACAATTTCTTTGGCAGCGGTCTTACTCATTTCATGAATTTTACCCACGGGAAAAATTTACTTTTTCTATTTTCTTTGAGCTATTTTTCATTTTCCAGAAATAAATATTTGCTGGAAAAGGAAAAAACAAAAAAAAACTGAATCATTTCTTACTGTGCATTCAGCCCAGCCGGCAAAATGGCCCGACCCATCTCCCTTGACGCGCGCGCTGGGGCTCCCAGGCCACAACCTGGGCCTTGGCTGCCAAAGCTGCGCGACCATGCGCGCCCGCCTGGGCCGTTTCGCTGGCCCGATCACGATCCGTCGTCGGATCGCATCCGACGGTCACCCGGCCGTCTTGCCCGAACAAAAGGACAGACCGGCCGCGTCGGCCGAAAACCCTAGCTTCATTCCTTTCGTTGCTCTCTCTCTCTCTCTTCGCCTTCTCTTCGCCGCTCTCTCCTCTCTCAGCGCAGCGAGCACCGAGCGACGACCGAGCAACTACAGCGGTGGAGCGAGGCATCCATGGCGCCGTCACCGGCCCCTTCGCAGCTTTGGCCGAGGATGATGAGGATTGGGGTTTGTTCTAGGGTTAGGGTTTGGAATCCGACCTTCCCCTTCTCTGATTTGCTTTTGAATCTTCTTTCTTTTCTTTTTGAATCTGCTTCTTTCTACGGATTCAACCGATTGGGGTAGGTTTCATTTTCTTTTGATTTCTTTTTCTTTTCTTAGTTCATCCGAATGGCTTTCCCCTTTTCCCTTTCTCCATGCAAGTTAGGGTTTGGGTTCGGTTGAACCCGATGTGTTTTGATTCGAGATCGAGATGCTAGGGTTCACTGTTCTTCCTCGAGACTGATTCCTTCCCCTTCTTTCCCCTTCCCATTCTTCTTTTGGGATTAACCCGATTTGGGATGGAGTTAAAATTATGGTAGGGTCTTAGGGTTTGGCCAAATCCGAACCCACTCTTCTTTCTTGATTCTACTGTTTCTCTTCCCGTTGAAGGCTTTTACGGGTTTAGGGTTAAGGTTAGTGAACCCCTTCTCTGTCCAGATCCGTAAGGAACTCTTTTCTTTTCTTGCCGCACCGGCACTTTTCCCCGCGCGGTGGCGGTGGTGATCGGGGTTCCAGTGACGTCCGCCACCCCCGGTCCCTTTTTCGTTTCTTTTACCCGATTAGGGTTAGGGTTACACACTGACAACCTGGCTCTGGTACCAATGTTATGATCGAAGATTACCTCTCTGTATAACCGTAGAACCGGGTAGACCTCTGCTTTGGGTTCCTCTGCACACACTTGATCAGAGCCTCACTCGTCGGTGCAGCAGTAGTAGGCCTCCAAATATGGTGGAGATGAAGTCCATGGCGCTGTGAAGACCGTGGTGACCTACTGCAGAGAAAACGGCGTGGTGGTGGATGGGCTTCTCGTCACCGGCAAAGACTACTTTTGATCGGTTTAGGTTTATCTGTGGGTGGGATGGCAGCGGCTCCGTTGAACCTCGTAGCACGAGCCCTGATCCCCACCTTACCTTTTTATATGTGCTGTGCGACAGGGGCCCACCAACCGTATTAGGGTTGGGCTCACCCGATCAGGGAGCAGAGACAAGGGCCCGATAGGCCGTTGGGCCTATTGGTGGAGATCAACTAACAAAATACACCTTTGGTAAGGAGGAGCAAGTCTACTTGCACCGCTTGGTTTTTTTATCGACCCTTCTTTTGATTCATAATCAAATGCATGCATCACGTGTTCTTGTCCATCTTGTTTATATGGCAGAAATAAATTACGGTAGACACAATCTATTAAGCCATAGAGAGCAATTTGATACTAATAATCACATCCAAACTTGTCACATGTGTTTTATATCCAAAAATTATGACAACGAGTAGCTAAAAGTAGCAACGTCTAAGAAAAGCTATTTCACAATAGGAGCCTCCAAATATAGGAACAACTTTACGTGACATCATTTTTAGTTGCTCAGCTTTCTTATCTTCTATGCTAAGAAAACAAAAGTAAATACGTACACATAACCTCATCAGAGCATGAAGACATACATGATGACTTGCACTTTATCGTATCAACTAAGATATAGAAGGAAATAAACCTTAGCTCATCATCCAATCACATAGCTAACTTGGGTTAAAAAAAACAACCGAAGCCGAGGCAACAATAAAACCCATCCCCAAACCGGATCTCCATCGCTCCCCACCAGGCACCAAGGCCACCACTAGTGTACTAGCCTAGTACTACTCTACTACTAGGCGCTGGTCTCCTTGGTGCGCATACCGAATTGGTGATCCACTCCGTCACTGCTCCCCTCGCCTCTAGGGGCAGCCAGGGCGGAGCTCACCCGACACGCGTCACACGCCACGGGCTCGGGCTCAGCCGCAGCCAAAGGCCAAAAGCCAAAACCCCGCACCACCTCCCCTGCCGCCCACGCACTCTATTCCCATCGCATCGCTCCTCTCCTCCCGGCCTCCTTTCCATCTCCTCCAGGAAATCTGCGCTCACGCTGACGACCCACCCCGCAGCTGCTCTCTATCTAGCTCCCATCCATCCCACCGCCCACCCACCTCGGCCCTGCTCCCTCATTTGCCCCACCCAGCGAGTTGAAGGCCTCCGAACTGAAGCAATGGCAGGCGGCAATGCCGGTGCCGCCTCCGCCGCTCGTGTCCTGTTCTCCCTCCTCGGCCTGGTCCTGCCGCTGCTCGTGGCCGGCGACGACCCGTACCGGTTCTTCACGTGGACGGTGACCTACGGCGACATCTACCCGCTGGGCGTCAAGCAGCAGGTGCGCTACTACATTACTACGCTCGTGGTTCTCTGTCGTCGTCGGTTGATTTCGCGTACGGTGTCCGAGCCCGGCCGCCGGCCGCCACACGCGGCGAAGAAGGAGCCCGCTGGAGCGGTGGTGAATGGGATCGGTTTGTGTTTGTGTTGCAGGGGATCCTGATCAACAACCAGTTCCCGGGGCCGCAGATCGAGGCCGTCACCAACGACAACCTCATCATCAACGTCTTCAACAAGCTCAACGAGCCGTTCCTCCTCTCCTGGTACGTACGTGCTGTACTCCCTGCATCTCCTCCATTGTCCGCTCCCGTACCACTCTGCAGCTCGTTCGTGGATCCCAGTTAATTATTCATCTGCAACGAACAACGAACCGAAAGTACGTATCTGAATTCTGAACGATACGTGCAATCGTATCTAGTTCTAAGTTCTAAGATGGCATTCGTACCGGTCTAAGTTGTAGCAAACTCTGCTTGCGTTGTAGGGAGAGATGCATCATTCAGTCCGGCACTTGACCATTTTCTGCCCTGATTACAACGATTGACTGATCAGTAATTGTTTTCTGTTTGGCGTTACTTGAATGCAGAATGCTGTACTCCATACCGCCCCTCACACAGGCCCACGCGTGCAGTGGCAGTGCTCTGCTGCTCCGTTTGAGTGAGCCCGGTCACTACTGTACCTACCGGTCCATTAAAAAACGAGCATAGTTAGCCTTATTAATCGGACAAAACCACATCGCCTACCGGGAATATATGTCTGTCGGCGTCGGCGGTTCAGGTCGACGCTCATGGCATCATTGGGCGATTAGGATAGAGTAGAGTATACTAATAGTATTAACCTCTTGGCCTGTGTGTGATAGTACTGTCCTAGGGCAGGACAAGGGGACCAACAAGCCGCTGCATCCATGACGGAGTCGTGTGCGAGTGAGTGCGAGGCATGATGTTTTGCTTCACCGAGAATATGCTTCGCTGGGTTCAGAGCGCGCCTGTAGCAGAGTCAATGGGACCTGTTTCTCAATGAGATTCTGCAGCAAAGTTCGGTTTGGCCACATTCGCCTGTGCCTATAGTACTGTATTGTTTGTTAACCAAACCACACAGGACAGAACTGGACTGGACATTAGCAATTTAGCATAGCAGCACACAAAAAGAGTCCATGCTGCTGGCATGCAGACGACGCGTTCAGATCAGATCTAGGCCCCCAAACAATATCTCTCTCTCCCTGCGCAAACTATTTCCCGCCGTTACATTTTGGGTCCTGCCTGCCCCGGGTCTGTACCCGGTGACGGAGAGGATAATAATAATAATGGGCAGGGCTGTCACGCCGGCTGCATCTGGTGCGGCGCTCTCGGCGTGGACCGAAAAATCCCGGTGATTATTGTGTATTATTCCCCAAGCGTCGGCGGCGACCAGCCAGCCAGCCGAACTGATCTCCGGCCGTGCCCGGTCCCGTCACGTCCCCAAGCGTCGGCGGCGACCCCCCTTTGCCATGCCCCGCGCCCGCGCTCTCGCGTCGCGTGGTAGGCAGCCAGGCCGGGTCGACGGGCCGCCTGCAGATTCGGCGCGCGGCCTCCCTCGCCCTCGTGTCTCGTGACGGCCTCACGGGCCGATACTGTTGATCCATCCACCACCTGCTCAGCTGCTCTTCCATCTAGAAAACGCACGGCGCGGGAATTTTACCATTCGTCGCATTAGGCGGGCCAAAGGATTGTTTTCTATATTTACCCTGTGCCCTGTCGGGCAGTGTCGGTGGACCGCCCGGTTTCGGTAATTAGCTCAGGCTGCAACTGCAAGTGATGCAATGCATGCAAGTGCAGACGCCCGGAGCCGGCCGGCCCGATCGAGCTGGGCGCCGTTATGTCGTAGCGTTGGGTCTTATTATGAGGTGTGAGCGCGATGCGTGCGGCCAGACTGGATGGATGATACGTTAAATACGTATAGGAGCGAGCAGGCAGTGCGGCGCCGCATGTGAAGCACCCCGTCGGGCATCGGCCATCGCAACTTGAACGGACGCGTCACGTGTCACGGGCCGCCAGCTGCATGCAGGCGATGGCGAGATGTGAACCGATGGCTCGGCCGCTGCTGGAGCAGGATTGCGCGGCTGGTGGCTGGTTGGTAGGCGCGCGATTCTGGTAGTAGGGCAGAGAGACGACGGGAGCGGGCATGTTCAAGTGGTCGCTGTAGCGATTGCACGTAGCGTAGGGTACCGCGTAGTACTGCAGCGTCGCCGTCCTTGCTGCTCGGCCTGGCAAGCTAGCTAGTGTAGCACGTCACTTTTACTGCTTACGTGTGACCTGTGACTGTCGTAATCACCCTTCTTCCTTGCTACTGTACTACTAGGACATCCTTAACAGTGGGGCCCGTAAGTGCATCTTTCAACTGCTCGTACATATCGGAAGGTTCCAACTACCAAATGTTTTGAGTTTCATTACAACTTTCCAAATGTTTTGAATTTTATTACGACTTTCAGTAAGGGCATGTTTGGAATGTGGATTTTTTTTCTTTTCATGCGTTTTTTTTCTGTAAAATTAAACTGATTCTTGTGAAATTTCTCCACAATTCCTGTGAAATTTCTGCGTTCCAAAGATGCCCTAAATAGTACTTCTACCTTGATCATAGGCTGGGTTAAAGGAAAAAAAACCCCGGCGTTCTCTATTGAACCGTGGTTGACAGGCTCAAAATTCAGGTCTAGATTTGACACAAAGACCCTAAATAGTACTTCCTTTTTTTTGATCGGGTACAATTTGGACACACACAACCCACACACTCCACATTCACACCACACGCACACACATACGTGCGCGTCCGTACACCGGCAAAGAAAAGATTGGGAGGCTCTGTAGCCTCCAGGGTATGGATTTGACAAGAGACCTTAATAGCACCGAACGCGCAAGCGCGTGCGCGTGTACCCTAAAATTTATAGAAAAAATTTAGAAAAAAGTGCGACACTAGGGCTTGAACTTTGGTGGTAGCGTTTCGCTAGATAGCCCTACCACTGGAGCACATGTCCATTTGCCCTAAATAGTACTTCTACCTTCATGGCGCTAAAAAAAACCGACGTTCTTTGTTGAACCGCGGCTGACAGGCTCAAAATTCGGGTCTGGATTTGACTCAGAGATGATGTTGGGTCTCCTTTACGTTTCAGGTTGTACCAGATTTTAGAGAAAAAAAAACAGCCCAAGCCCAAATCGTTAAACAGAACAGGCCGGTGGCCCAAGAAGGTTAAGTAGCCCATGAAAAAAAAAGGTTGTCTGTAAACTTCGAAGGCCATATTCGCTTCTCTTATAATCCGTCTTTCTCAGCTCGTTTTTTCAGCCGAAGCAATATTTTTCTCTCATAACAAATTAGTCGGAACGACTTAATTTTTCAGCGAAGCGAACGGGCCGAAGTCAGTCCTCCCTCGTCCGTGTCACATTGACATTCGCCGTGGTCAGTGGCAAGTTCCGTTCTAAGTGTTAGAACTGTTGAAAGTCTTTCCGTGAACAGTTTCCGTACGGATCTTATTTCTATAGCGTCGGTGATATCACTTGGATTTGTACATATTTTGGTCAAACTGTGATATTTGACTAAGGATTTGATTAAATTAAGAAAGAAAACACGCATCCCATTGGGCCATTTCAACGTTCTCGCATGTAACAGCATTAGACTTCGTGGTTGGATATCTCATGAAGGTGGGACCAAGGAAAAAAATTTCGTACAGAAGTCCGTGGCAGACATGATTTTTAGTCTTATCTGATTTTCTTGAAATGTTCTTGTCCTACATATTTGATAAATATGTTTATCGGATTCCATTTCATGTTGTGCTCCGTTTCGGTCGACCGCCAAATTCCAACTAGGGACTCACGTGGCGCCTCGAAACTATGCATCAGCAGCAGCAGAAAAGCTTGCATGGACAGGCCAAACATACCCCGTGAGGCCGTGAACATGAACTAACTGCTGCCGAATTTCTCAAACTTGTTCTTTCGCACCGTCGTGATCGATTGGGTCGATCAACAAACAACGGAGACGGAGCAGATGCCAGATGCCAGATGGGGAAACGTGCGATGAATGTCGACTGACGCGCGCTGCTGCACTGACACCGACACACTGTGCAGGAGCGGGCTCCAGCAACGGCGGAACTCGTTCGAGGACGGCGTGGCCGGCACGACGTGCCCGATCCCGCCGGGCGCCAACTTCACCTACATCATGCAGGCCAAGGACCAGATCGGCACCTACTACTACTTCCCCTCGCTGGCCTTCCACAAGGCCGCCGGCGGGTTCGGCGGCATCCGCGTGCTCAGCCGCCCACAGATCCCCGTCCCGTTCTCGCCGCCCGCCGCCGACTACACCGTCCTCATCGGCGACTGGTACAAGGCCAACCACACCGTACGTCGTCCGCCTTTGCTGCATTCTTGTTCGTCACACAATTCGCAGGACCACCACATCTGACAGCTTAGGAACTTGTATTGTTCTTGGACGGACGGACGGACGGACGGACAGGACTTGAGGTACGTGCTTGACAGCGGAAAGGCGATCGGGTTCCCTGACGGGCTGCTCATCAACGGCCGGAGCTGGAATGGCTACACCTTCACCGTTCAGCCCGGTAAGTAGTTCCGGCAGATCAGTTGACAAGTTTGTGGCCATTCCGCATTTCTGCAATTTCAAGCTGACAAGCAGTTTGAACTGACGAAATGCTAGCACTGATGAGTGACGAAGCTCTGAATTGTATTGTTTGGTGCGTTTTGCAGGCCGGACGTACCGGTTCAGGATCACCAACGTGGGCCTGGCAACCTCCCTGAACATCCGGTTCCAGGGGCACACCATGAAGCTGGTGGAGGTAGAAGGCTCCCACACCATGCAGACCACCTACTCATCCCTGGACGTGCACCTCGGCCAGTCCTACTCCGTGCTGCTCACCGCCGACCAGCCCGGCTTCGACTACGCCATCGTCGTCTCCACGCGCTTCACCAGCAGGATCATCTCCACCACGGCCGTCCTGCACTACACTAACTCCGCCGGCAAGGCGCCGGGCTCCCTTCCCGGGGGCCCCACCATCCAGATCGACTGGTCACTCAACCAGGCCCGCTCTATCAGGTGGAACCTGACGGCGAGCGGGCCGAGGCCCAACCCGCAGGGGTCGTACCACTACGGCCTGGTGCCGGTGACCCGGACCATCCGGCTGGCCAACTCGGCGGCGGCCGTCAACCGGAAGCAGCGCTACGCGGTGAACAGCGTGTCGTACGTGAGCCCGGACACCCCGCTCAAGGTCGCCGACTACTACAAGATCGGCGGCGTCTTCTCGGTGGGCACCATCGCCGAGAGCCCGACCTACGGCGGCGCCTACCTGCAGACGTCGGTCATGGGGGCCAACTACAGGGACTACGTCGAGATCGTGTTCGAGAACAACGAGGACGAGGTTCAGTCGTGGCACATTGACGGATACGCCTTCTGGGTCGTCGGGTGCGTTGCGATCCCAACCCACTCTCAAGAAAAAATGTTTGGAATGTCAGTATCATTGTATATGAGATTATTAACAATCTTGGTTAACTGACCGGATGTGAATCTGTGTGCAGAATGGATGGAGGAAAATGGTCATCGGCAAGCAGGCAGGGCTACAACTTGAGAGACGGCGTGTCGCGGTACACTGTTCAGGTATGATGCTGTGCTATCTTCTGACACGCTCTACAAGCTGAAACTGGAATTGGTTGGAAACGATAGTGGTATTTGGAATCGGTTGAAAAAACATTACCAATTTTTTTGTCGAGCCGGCTGGCTTTATGATTCAGTCAAGTCTTTCCATTACACAAGTCAGTGGCGCACTCACTGTAGAGGCGCATTATTTGGTTCGCCATCACCAATAGCATGGCACAGCTCACACATCCAAAACTGCCCATTCAGCCGCCATGCTAGGATAAGATCTTTTCAGAAACGATGTGGTGATCGGTTGCGTCAGGAAAGGCGTAGTGTCATACTCTGGAAGCTATGGACTCTGCTTTCGCCTGCCTACAGCTTTGAAGTGGCTATCATCAGCATCTCTCACTGTCGTGGTGACTTATTCTCCAGGAAATTTGTTACCGTGTCTAACCACTAAACCAGTGACTTAGCTTTTGCAAGTGCTCCTAAAATAACACACACACACTTGCATTTCTCCATTTCTGTTCTGACACATCTGGTATTCTTAATCCTGCATAATCAAATCAAACCAAGAAATGATTCTACCTGTCCTAAAATGAAAATTTACATCAGGTCTAGTCTAATTATTCCACCCTTTGACTGTTTCCATCAGGTGTACCCCAGATCATGGACGGCGATCTACATGCCCCTAGACAACGTGGGCATGTGGAACGTCCGATCGGAGAACTGGGCCAGGCAGTACCTGGGGCAGCAGTTCTACCTCCGCGTCTGGACGCCGTCGACGTCGTTGCGCGACGAGTACCCGATCCCCAAGAACGCGCTCCTGTGCGGCCGGGCGGCCGGTCGCCGGACCAGGCCGCTGTGAGACTGCCGGCCGGCGGATCGGAGCTTGTCATGAGAGGATGACAAGCACTGCATACAAATTGCCATTGGTTTGGACTTTGGGGAAGAGTAGGCACATATAAGTTTATATGCCCTGAACCTGAAGGGAGGGCTCAAAGGAGAGTGTTGCCTGTCAGAAGCATATGTGATTTATAGTTCAGATTAGGCCGTGTAATACTGATGTTAGTGCTGAACCGTGTCTGCATTTTGCTTGGTTTGAACGGTTGATCCCTTTATGCAACGCAATTGTTGTTACTTGTTAGTGATTGGGGTACATGGGTATAAACAAATCGTGTGGCACCTTGCTACACTGCTCAGATTCTTAATAAAGTATCACATGCTTAGATCATGTCCGACTTCAATGGCATGTTCTCCATGTTGTCACATGCTTGTGCTGGTGGAGTACATACCAAAGCAAAGCGGTCACAGGAAGAGATGGAATTTTTCAAATTTTGAAGGAGTTTTGAAAAGTACTAGCACAATTCTTGCGGGTTCGAATTGAGCCATTCGCTGACACTGACACTGCACTGCACGGTTCGTGGTGAAATCTTTCAGAACTCTTGAAAAACGGTTCGTGGCTCCTCGCCATTGAGTTCGTGTTCCTTTGTAACGGTTACTATTTTTCTTTGAATGAAAAACGGGTGAATGACCTGATCGCGAAAAAGAACTCTTGGTCACTGATTGACTCTGTCTAACATTACATGGTTGTGTCCGTGATTGTGTCGTACCTGTGCTTGACAAAAAAAAAAACTCTAACTAGCAGATGATCCCAAATGGAGTCCTGAGTAGTGAAGAAAGCTTCTACGTGCTCACGTGATTGCGTGACACGAAAACGAGGAATTTACAGGAGTGAAGAAATGTTCAAATGCCATCATGATTGCAGTGGGAAAGTGATGTTCAAACGGCTCCGTTATGTTTTCGAGCTAAAGGGGAAAAAAAAGAATTTGGCGACCGTCTACATTTAACGACAGTTGTCACACGGCAAATTAGTTGGTTTTGGATTGGCTAACTATATTAAGTTGCACGTAAGCATAAATCCATAAAAAGAAAAGCACACCATAAAATACAACTCATACACCACGCAAATCTGTGTCATTTCCTCACACAAACATATATCGCCAAGTTACAAAAGACAAATGGCATAGTTCCTAAACACGAGTATATCCATTCACGAAAGACAAACCCTATCCTTTTTCAATTTTCATAGTTTACGGCCTGACGATCCCTATGCATCCTTGACGTCTTCATGCTGCGAGGAACTTCCCTCGTGCCAGATACATCGCCATCAACCGCTGGTGACCCTTTCTTCCTTTCATGATAGTACCTTGAAGGAAACGATCAACCAAAAACCCATCCCTATAAATACATGTACCCAATCTTCACTCAAACCAGATCAAGCAAAAGACACGGCGGTAGAAAAGCAGCTCAGAAAAACCCAGCAGAAGCCATGTCCACGATGCCACCACCACCACCGCCCCATCACGGCCCAGCCATCATCCAACGGCCGAGCCCGGCTGGATCGGACGGCCCCCTGAATTTCGCCCAGAAATTCCACCCCTGCCACTACCAAATCCCATTTTTTAAAATCAAAATCCAAGGCTCCCTTCCCCGTGGTGCTTCAGCTCCCCTTCCTCCGCATGTGTCGTCCCCGTCCTGCGCCGCCCCGGGCCACTGCCAGGTAGGCCACACCATGGAGCAGCCGCCGCCCGCCTCGTTGGCGCCGGCGCCGGCGCCGCAGTCGCTGGTGTCCCGCGCGCGCACCGCGATCCACTCCGCCGCCGCCCGCGTGCTCACCGACATCAAAGCTGACCTCCGAGGTACGTGCGTCTGCCGTCGCGCGCGGGTCCTCTCGCCTTCGCTGTTCGCTTTCCGCGTCCGAATCTGATGAGCTCCGGGCGGGGGATCGGTTGTGGTGGGGGGGGCGCAGATGCCGACGGATTCGGCGGGCGTAGCAGGGCGCCGTCGCCGAGGACGTCCCTGGATCGGGAGGCCGAAGTGAGCGCCACGGGGCGGGAGCCGGACATGAAGCCGCCGTCGCCGCGTGATGAGGTACGTGTTCCTGTCACTCTACTCATCCAATTGGACTCTGCTCTGCTTCATTCAGTCCGGTGCTCGCGCTGTCATGGTGAATTGGTGGTACGTGGTGACCGACGAGATGGTGAGTTCGGTGCTGAATCCGTCCACTTGAGGTGGAAGTGTTGCTGTTCCAGGCAATTGAACTGTTATTGGCTTGTGTGCTTTTCTGTTCTCATAGTGGTGCTTAGAAAATTGAGACCTTTCAGCTAATAATAGTAGTTACCTTGTTACTTATTTTTTGGGCTTGGTCAATGCTCCAGGGTGTGGATTCCATGGAAGCATATGGCTGAGCTGAGCTTCTTTTGAGCATTTTTCTTTATAACAAATCGGGGGCAGTTGGGTGTGTTAAACACAGTCAAATGGAGCATTCAGTTCTGGTCAATTGGACTGGATATTGAGTTTGTGGGAGCAGTCAGGGACAATATGCATGGTTCTGTGATTAGTGTGGAAACCTATTTTTTTGTTCAAGTCCACAGAAGGCCTCTTTGTTGAATGCTTAAATTTCTCTAATTTATTTCATTTCTTGTTATAAACACAAATTGGTTATTTAATCAGCTGGATCTTCACGTATGCTGCTAAATCTTTGTGATTCCAGGTACTAGAAATAAGCCCCTCGGGGAATGAGGATTGCTCAAGCATACCAACTGAGTCAACTTGTTCAACAAAGCTGACCTTTCCTCCAGGTTCAATAGTTAAACAACTGGTGTCTGCCATTGAGTAAGTCCGTGTTCCTTAGCAAGCATTGCAACACCCCATCCATCATACTGTACTTACTATTCAAAATATATGCAACTGTTTTGAAAATAAGTTGCATTATCATATTAAATTTTCCATTCTTAGAATACCATTTGTCCATTTTATTTTTAGAGTAAGAGTACATTCAGTTCTGCAAGCAAAGTTGCATCATTTTGTGATTCACATATCCTGTAAGCTTCCTATTTATATGAGTGGATTCACTTTGGTTATTCTTAATATTTTGTATGCAAAATGTATAAATCATGTTGTGCTCTTGTAGAAATGGGAAAAGTTTCAAGTCAATGAGTGATATGAGGCATACTGGAGACCAATTGCTGAAAGATAAGGGAGGTTTGAGCTTGTCTGTTGTTAAGTCACTTGTTCGACGTGACAAGGAAGAAAGATCGAGCTCTGAATTTTTTGGTGATGAAGAAACTCAATCTTTGATGTACTCCTTGTTCAAATTAGGTATGCTTTATTCGATGTGCTGAGGATTTTAGTTTGCATTGTCATTTGAAATTATGATACATGATTTTCTTTTCAGAGGAACAGTTTTCACTCGAAGGAAGTCAATGTTTCCCTGAATTGGTTCATTCAAGATCTGTGTCCAAGGATCTACATGGTGCACCACCTGGAAGTTTTATTCATCATTTAGCAGTAGTTATTGGCAGCATTAGTTCTGTGCACAAGGTGGCATTTTTTTGGCAATCAGTTGTTCTTGAGGTGGGTAGTATGTAGGTAAATTGCCCCTCATAAATTAGGAAAATACCTTGTAATTGGTGCATCTTGGCTATACCTTTCAGAAAGACTACCTTGTCATGATGTTTCACTAAACTAGGCATAAATTTATTACATATGACAGAACTAATTTTATTCCCAGGAGAATAAAATGAAAATGGTACTGATTTATTAGATACGAATAATCAATAAAATGTAAACGCAATTGTTTTTTTTTCTACATGCAGTTGAGGAAACTATGGTCCGATTGGCAATCTGTGCCTCGAATGCCACTTGAGGCTGCTCCAGACTTGAATTCTTGTTTACTACATCAGGAGATCCAAGTTGTAAATTGTTGCATTGCCAGGAAAAAGCGAAGGAAAGCAGCTAAGGAGTCACTGGATTCCTTGCTAAAGCAGGCAAGTATTGATAAATCAGAACCCAGGTTGTCAAAAGGGAAGTCTCCTGACAGCGAGATGTATGCAAGAGATAGTACTGGTGATTATGTCCTTCGACTTGGTGCTGATCGGTCATCTGAGAACTTAACATTACTGGAAACTGGTGAGCCTATCTATTCCCCGACACTGCAGGTAAGATGCTCTGTTGCTTTTCCAGAAGTTCATCTTTTTGTAATGCTTCCTTTCATTATTTCTGAATCTGACGATGACCTATCTTCAGGAAGGCCCCATCATGACAGCAGAGCTTATAAAAGAAACAGAGGAGCTAGTGTTACGGACAGGAAGGTACGTCAAGTTTTCTTATGTACTACTGTACTTCTGGAACGCCACTAATTAAATCTAAGACTGTACTCGTAGTTCAATACTTATCCCCATAACCCATTTCAGTTTTTATTGGGTGTCATTGGTATGCTTCCTTTTGCAAATCTGATCCTTGTGTGATGCTGTCCAATACCATCATTTCTGTCAATATAGTTGTTATAGTTAAGTAATAGAACAATGTTTGTGATGCTTTTTATTATTTCTCAGTCTGGGTGCTGGATGCTCTCAACTTCTATCAGATATGCAGGCTTTCAAGGCAAGTTTAAAGCCCTTCTTCTCAGAGAATACAAATGCTGTTAAAGTGAACTTCCTAAAGAGGCAATTCCTTTTTCTAACAGGCAGCAAATCCTGGTTGTGTCCTGGAGGACTTCGTTAGATGGCACTCTCCTCCTGATTGGTCTGAGGATTGTGTTGCAAACAGTACCACAGTCGGGGAAGGCTCATCTAGACGTGGGCGGTTAAGTGATAGAATGCAAACAAAAGGTGATAACTGATAACTATCTCTTCTGCATGTGCCTGTATAAGCTATAAGCTACCATGTATCCAAGTATTTTCATTTGATGTGGTGTGGTTATCTAGAAGGTAACTTGTGGAAGGAACTCTGGGAGGCTGCAAAACCAATACCTGCAGTTGAACAGACTCCTATATATGATGAAGATTTAGCCGTGTGAGTAGAAAATATATTGACTAGTTACTGTGTTGATTTTTAACACGTGTCAAATTATAATGGAACAATATAACCTTGCAGGGAGAGCATCTTTGATGCGTTGGAAGTTATTGAACCATCAAAATTGTTTGAGCAGCTACTTGGCGTCATTGTAAGTTCAATAATGTCCCCCCCCCCCTCCCTTTTCAGTGTAACTTTGTAGGGAAAAAGTCTACATAACCTCCTCAACTATTCAAGGTGGACTACTTCACCCCCAACCTATAAAACCGGATTTTCTACCCCATGAACTTTCCAAAACCGGTCAAATAACCCCCATGCGGTTTTGGACAGTGGTTTTGTCTTTTTCTTTTTTATTTATTTCCGCTGAATCTTTGAAAAATCATAGTAAATCACAGAAAAATCATAAAATGGAAAATCCAATTTTGTTGGATTCCACATGAGTAGTTCTACACAATGAACATATAATATGGTATGCTTTAGTACAAAGTTTTTACTGTAGCTTTAGATCTATGCTTTTCTGTAATTAATTGGAATAATTCATAGCTGCAGCTTATATGGTAAAATTTCACCACAATTGGAAAGTTCAGGAGTAGAAAAATTCCATCACTGTAGCAAAACCACCGTCCAAAACCGCCTGGGGGTTATTTGACCGGTTTTGGAAAGTTCAGGAGTAGAAAATCTGGTTTTATAGTTTGGGGGGTGAAGTAGTCCACCCTGAATAGTTGAGGGGTTAAGTAGACTTTTTCCAACTTTTTAGCTAGCTACGAGTTCTGATCTTATTTATCTTACGACACATGCTAGCGCCTTACTGATTGCTATTGTGAATACCAGCTTTCTGTATGCTTTGTGGCAGCAGAATTGGTTCTAGCCGCAGATAGCAACCTGTCAAAATTATTCTACGATTGTAAGGACTACATAATTGGCATCTATCATGATGACATGTCAAAAGACGAGCTAGATGAGATATGCAAGGTATTCTTCTTCTATTTATCCATCGAGATTGTGATACTGCAGTTGAAGTCTAGTATGACACACTGATGGCACGCCAGGTGTACGAGACGATGGAAGCCATAGTAACCCACCCTGAAGAAGCTCTCCAGATCATGGAGCAACCTGTTGAAAAGTCTGTTGACAAAAAAAACAGCTTCAAGCTGAAGCTCAACTTTATGGCCAAAGATCGCCCGCCACTCTGGAAGCGCACAACAAAGGATGAGAAGAAGATGTCTCCAAAGGATGACAAGAATACATCAGAGGAAAAGAACACGAAGATATTCTCTAACCTTTTTGACAAGAAGGTTAACATATTTTCAAAGAAGAATGTGAAATTATCGGAGGTGCCACCAGCGCCCACTTCATCTTCTCCTGGGCCATTTGAGGAGAGCGAGTGGATGATTTTGTAGTTGAAATTCCTGTATTGTTCTTTTTGTACAACATGTAGAGGGGTGGCTCGAAGATGTCGGGAATAATCTTAAGCTGTAAATACTCAATCTAATTCATTGAACATTTTGAAATAAACTGAAAAGATGAAGATTTTGATGTGATTTGAGCATCTGGATACTCGAGTTCTCGTTCAGCTATGCACTTAGAACTCTGTACTTGAGAAACATGAAATCCACAATTTGACAAATTCTGTGTAAAGGTTCATATACTTGATGGGGCAAAAAAAAACTGGATTGCCGTAGAATTCCCTTTGGAAAGTTTATCCTGAGGTGATTCATAACTTACTCATGGCGATTATTTTAGAAAAGGGGAAATACATCAACAACCAGCACCAGCCACAGATGGACATGTAGAGGAATTTGGGCGTGACCAAACTAAAATTATGATGCATTAGAGAGCCCAACAATAGAAACATGTCTCTATCAATATCTAAGACGGTACTCCTTCCTTTTTATGAGGTGTACTAGGATTTGGGGAACTTTTAAGAAAAAATATATCGCCATTTGCTGCAAAATAAATTTGTACTAAAAGGTGCTTCAATAGTTAAATCACCCTTAAAACCAACTAGAGGACCAAATTTATCCGGTTTCAATAGTTAAATGATCAAAGATACCTTATTTTTGAATTTGATGATTAAAATTGGATTTCGGTGATAATTCAATAGTAAAAAATAGACACTCATCTAAGTCAAAAAATAGTCAAAAAATGTGTTACGATTAAACATAGGCCAAAGAGATACCGTACTTTTATATCCCACTGAAAGCTGGATGGTAGCCCTTGAATGAGCCACAACCGTACCACTCAAGCGTAGGGATGATAGTGGGTAGAGTTGCTAAGTGCTGGTGGAATAAATCCATGGGCGAAAAATATTTGTGAACGGCTAAAATTTTATACACACTCGTAGATTAAATTGTCACTAGAATATAGATAAGATCCCCGTACTGCAGATGGAATTTTATACTCACGCCCACACAAAATAAGATCCCTTAAGAGATGCACCCTAAGAATGATGCCTGCCTGCACCGTTTTTTGGGTCTGTGGCCTACTCGTGATTCATTCGTCACAATAACTCGCGGAAGTATTCAGGTGCGTCATTTTCGAGCAAAATCCATGGCATACTGTCCATTCTAGCAAATCCGTTAAGAACGCAAAGACTCAATCTCTCCCTCCCTCTCTCTCTCTCTCTCTCTAACTTTGACTTGATAACCATACCAATAAGAAAAATACGTACTCATCGCTGCATGCAGGTGACTTTTGCAAGCCGGTCACCTCTTCCTTCTGAACACCGTTACTCAAAAGTTCCCTCTCTCCCGCCATCACCACAACTGCTCACCGAACCCGGCCAAGATCAATGCACTCACTCCACATCCATGCACGCCACCGCTCAACCTGAAACCTCCTCCCTGTCCCCCAGGGAACACACGCCCATGCCTCCACTATATATAGCGCTCCCTAGCTCGCCAATGGGGAAACATCAGAGTTCAAGCTAGCCACCAGCCAACATACTGCGCTTAGCCATGTCTAGCGCTAGACACACTGCCATCTTCCTTCTCTTCCTCCTTGGCATTGTTTCCGAGCTGAGCACTGTTGCACGCGCTAATTTTAACATCCCACGGTTCGGCCGCTGCATTTTCGGACGTCGTTGCCGATTTGGCTTCGGAGGAGGTACAGGGTTCGGCGGAGGTGCTGGGGGTGGTTTCAGAGGTAGTGGTGGTGGAGGGCTCGGTGGTGGTGTTGGCCATGGTGGCGGTTTTGGAGCGGGTGGTGGGTTAGGTGGAGGAGGAGGGTTTGGAGGAGGCCTTGGTAGTGGGTTTGGTGCTAGGTCACGCATTGGGGGTGGCGTTGGATCAGGAGGAGGCCTTGGAATAGGACATGGAGGAGGCTTTGGTGGTGGGGTTGGAGGTGGAGGGGGACTCGGCGGTGGCGTTGGATCAGAGGGAGGCCTTGGAATAGGACATGGAGGAGGCTTTGGTGCTGGGGTTGGAGGTGGAGGGGGACTCGGCGGTGGCGTTGGATCAGGGGGAGGCCTTGGAATAGGACATGGAGGAGGCTTTGGTGCTGGGGTTGGAGGTGGAGGGGGACTCGGCGGTGGCGTTGGATCAGGGGGAGTCCTTGGAATAGGACATGGAGGAGGTTTTGGTGGTGGAGCTGGAGGAGGAGGGGGACTCGGCAGTGGCCACAGTGGTGGCTTCGGTGGTGGAGCTGGAGTTGGTAGTGGTACTTATGGAGGGCTTGGCAGTGGTGGAGGGTTTGGAGGCGGTGGAGGAGGAGGCCTCGCCGGCGGGCATGGTGGAGGCTTTGGCTCTGGACTAGGTGTAGGAAGTGGTGCAGGTGGAGGCCTTGGTGGTGGAGGAGGCTTCGGCGGTGGCGGAGGACTTGGTGGCGGATACAGTGGAGGTTTCGGCGCCGGGGGTGGTATAGGAGGTGGTGTTGGAGGAGGTCTTGTTGGTGGCGGTGGGCATGGCAGCGGCTTCGGTGCTGGTGCTGGTTTTGGAGGCGGTGTTGGTGGAGGCGGCGGTCGTTGATGGTGAAGGCGAGCATGATGTTATGTTTCATGATCCATCTTTGTTTATTAGTCCGTGTTTAACATAGAGTTGTTCGCTTCTAGTGAATTAATAAGTAGTATATGTCCACATAGTATAGTGTATACTGAACTGATTCAGGTATCTCAGGTGTGTAAGCCTTAAGCTGTACTGTGATGTATTGAATTTGTAGTGAAGGAATAACAGTTTTTCACTCTATCCATTTCAAATTATAAATCGCTTTGATTTTTTTAATACATAGAGCTTATTATGTATCTAGACGTATATTATATCTAGATACATAGCAAAATGGATGTAAAAAAAAGTCAAAGCGACTTATAATTTGAAACGGAAGGAGTAGCTCTTAACCACATGCAAATTGTTATTTACGTCTCCGGTCTTGTGTTCTTGGGTCCCATCCCATCTCGCTTGAATGTCGCGAGGATTATGCCAAGAGTTTGAACCAAATAGCTGATGGAGGTACGCTGTAAGGATTATATGTACAAATATATAGAAACAGATAATTTGTACCCCCTCCCTCCTTCCTTGGCATTGTTACTGAAATATTAGTTGTGATAAGTTCTCTGTGGCTTCCATTAATCTCCAGATTCTCCATGCTTGGCGGTACCGGTACATTATCACCTCACACGTACAGCCCCACTCGTTTTCTCGTTTGAAAGTTTAATTTGCCATTTCCAAATATAATAGTGTTCTTGTTGATATGAGTTGTAAACGTAAAGACAGCCATGGACTATAATAAAAACAGAAAAGAGATAACAAAGAGTACCACTCGTGGGTTTAGTCAAAAATACGCCGCTGTTATACTTATTTTTTGGTTTTGTGTTCCTACTGCAGGAGTCACAAACCTTCTGTGACCTTGTTGTGAGCTCGCGGGTTCAGCGGGAGACAGTGCAGAGAAGTCTCAGTTCCCTGGCATTTGAAAACTGTGTGAAATATTCAGCAAAATGCTGGAATGGTAACATATCTGAAATTAACTATGGATATCATGAAGCAAAGCATCGATCTAAAGTCCAGTAAAATTGTCAAGATCGGATGATTTTTTGAGATCGAAAGATTTATGTCAGTTGGGCTCGTCAACAGGATATAACAGGTTGACCACCTGTATATTAGGCCCAGCCCCCTCGCAAAAAAAAATATTAGGCCCAGCCCAGCCCATATTATATATGGAGGAAAAGGAAAATAACCTCCCTCCTAATCCTGATACGCCGAACAGCGATTCGTATATGGCTATCGTCTATGCACTGCATCATCCTTCTATCGTTTGGGGCGCTGCAGCTTCAAGCAGGGCCAGCGCCTCTGTGTGACTGTCATGATGGATGAGTCAGGAGAAGCACTGGCTGACCGAAGAAAGCATGAATGAGTGCTGCTGTTGGATGAGTTGGTGGAGGGATATTGGCCTGGTAGTGAGTAGGGGGTTCGGCCCATGTAAGTGTGAGACGGTGTTGCTGACTTGCTGGTATAAAAAAGCCGGTTTATTTTGTGATTTTTTTGAAAGTGTTTTGTGAATTGGACATGAATAAGAATAACATGAAACATTTCCCTGTTGGCTGTTGCTATCTTCCTTTGTTGTTCTTCCTCTTTCTATCTTTATCTGCTTCCAACCAATTCCTTGACTAGATCTCTTCCCAGCTACCCAACTCAATGACAAATTGGTATCTATCCCCCCCCCCCAAAAAAAATGAATCGAGTTGTCTCTCGCGTGATGGCACTCCCACGGAAACACAGCAAGCTCGAGCAGCAAATGGCGGCTACTATGGAGGATCTCGCGAAGCAGTTTGAGGGTTTTCAATTGATAATGCATCAAACCCTCGACAAGCTTACCAGATTGGAGCCATGGCCTGGAGCGCTGGACGAATCCATGGACGTGCTCCTCAAAAAGATCCGACGAGACGTTCGCGAGGCTGCTATGTCTTGAGACAACGCCGCCGCCACCTCCTCCACCGAGTGGGTGGGTCAACAACGTCGACGTCAAGAACAAATTTTTTATTTTTAGCTCTCTTTTTTTCGAAGATATTCACAAATACGTCCCCGGCGGTATCCTTTCAAAAATAGACCCTGACTTCGGCGCAGTGACAACTGGCGCCGAGGTTGCACGTCTCGGTTTCGGCACCATGGTTATTGACGCCGAGGTCCAGGGTCATTTTCCGCGTGTCGTTGACATGGCTGTATGCGTGGCACGGACGTGGCATGAGCTCGGCGTCGTGGATCCTGACGACGAGCTCGGCGCCGTGCATCTTGGCACCGGCACCGAGCTCGACATCAATTGCTACGACGCCGAGCTCTAGAAATTGACAAATTTGAATTTTTATCATGACTTGGATATTGAGAAATGTGGCTAACTCTAGAGTTTTTACAGAGACTTGCTGTTTGATCACTTAAAACAATCTAGAAATATTTAAGATAAAAAATGATCTAGGGTTTATGTTCATGAAATAGCCTAAAATGCTTCTAAATGTTGGATCAATAGTTTACTTCTTTTTTCATGATGTTGTTTTGACCAGGGTAAAACAGTCTCTTTTCTAGATATGAAGTTTGACCTTTAATAGAAGTTATAGTTTGAATTGAGTACAACAAATTTTGCTTTTGAACCTAAACCTAAACCAATCTTTAACGTGGACAAATAGGTAACCACAAGTTTAAATACAGTGTTGTTTTGGCCTCTCCAAATCTTTCTAAGTCCCTGATCGCCAGCAATGAATTGATATGTTTGCGACATTTTATCTTCCAAATTTGTGTAGCAACTCAATTTGATACCTTACTACAAGTTTGAATACTCTATGAGGAGATAACAACAAAGCAAGTCTCGTCAAGTTGGATTTAGCCACGATAAAAAACTAGACTTAGCCACGGTCATAAATTCTAGACTTAGCCATATTTCCACATGTTTATAGGTCATGAGGTGTGTTGCGTCCGTGCTTGCATGCCTGCACATGGGCATACGGTTCGTTGCATACGCACATAGTACACACTACAACTATTCTGATTAGCAATACAACATACGCATGGAACCGAGCCCTGCACCACCCGATCGTGTTGTAGGGGTCGAGCCCTGCACTATGCCGCCTAGACATGTTGTAGTTCTATTTGGTCAGGCATAGGCTCGAGTGACCAGCTGACGATTGTCACCGCCGGCCATAAACCCATAAGTCCATACTCGAAAGAGAGCATTGGCGATGTGCGGTCAAAGCTCCATTTGAGAGTGCCTGTCCCGTTATATCTTTTGGTGAAAAAAAATTGCTACCCACATTGCATCGCCCCCTCCTTCAGCCACACAGGTTTATCACCTTGGACCTCGGCGCTAGAGCCATTGATGCCGAGGTCAGGATCTATTTTTTGAAAGGATGCCGTCAGATGTGTATTTGTGAAAATCTTTCCCAAAAAAAGGACAAAAAGTCAAAAAAATAATAATAACGTCAAGCACGCTCCCATCCAGCGGCGCGGACTTCATTCATCGTCGGCAACAACGTGGTTCAACGGACATGGGCAAGCACCACCACCTCCACCAAGCGGCTGGGTCAGCACCATCGATCTCAACCAGGCTCCTCAACCATTGGCACACCCATCTAAAGCATTCGTTCTTTACCCTTTCCTATATATATTGGAATTTTCCAAATTTGATGGTTATAATCCTCGGCTGTGGCGTGATCAGTGTGATATGTATTTCGATGTTTTGCTGTCAAGTCGACGTTGAGGACTCGTTTCGCGGCGCTCAATTTTCGACCATAGTGTGGGGAAGAAAAGATAAGAATGAGAGGGCAAAATGTCTCATCCCACGTCATCTCCAAATCAAAAGTACACTTATATATGTAACGCGAATTTGCTTGGCCGTGCTTGTTTTAACTCGGTGCCAAGCCCCTAAGCGTGGACGATGCATGGAAATAGTCAACCGCCGTTGACAAAAAACTGGAGAGGGACCGTCGGTTCTCTGTGGCCTGGTTGGCAGATGCTTCAGCCTCTGGCACGGCACCGCATCAACAATTCAGCATCGACATCAATGGCGTCGAACGGTCGAAGGGACAGACGAGCAGGGCGGATGTGAGAGCCTTCAATGCGGCAGTAACTGCTCCTATCTTGCTAGCCACCGGCGAAGCCGCGTGCGTGCCATGCCATTGCGCGCGCGGCCAACCAAGGTCAGAGAAGAGAGCCCTGCCCTGCTCCCGTTTCTATGCATGCAGCAAACGCAGCCGCAACAGACCGCGAGGCAGCCATGTGCGCCCACGGTATCGGTGGATCGAACCATCAACCATCTGTGCTTGGCTAGTTGGCTTCGTCCGTTGACTGTTCACGTGTGGTCGTGTATGTGGATGCATGTCGACCTCGTCAAACTCCGGATCGAGAGATTATTGGTGGAAATCAATGCTATATATGCTACCAGTTTTTTTTTTTTTGACCTATTGCCGGGCACGCATTATGACGTACTGGCCCGGCCCAAAAGTACTGTAGTCTGTAGTTACGTTATGTGTTGCCAAACTGAATTCTTCTTTAGTTTCTCGCAAACTGGCTGATGGTTCATGAAAAATTCTCGCGCAGTCGCTGATGCTTCTTGCTACATGAAAATTTCGGAGAAGTGTACTGCTCGTACCAAAAAAATAAAGGAGTGCATGCCACGCAACGCTTGGACGTGATCATGGTCTAGAACACTGACCAGATAACTCTGATCTGCTTGCTGCAAAATGCTTGGTAGGAGTATGCTGTAGTGCCAAGTACTCTACTTCCCAATGGTACCCGATTGAATTCTGAACAAATAAACCTGAGAAGGTTGCCAAGCATTGGAAGGTTGTGCTATCTTTCATGACCGGCTGCAGGTAGTCTAATCGCCGTTTACCGCTGTACTCTCCACTTAAAACACGACAACCACTAGTCTGTCTCTCTACTGTGCTAAGCTACTGCTCCTGCTGTACTGAATGGAGAAGAAAATTTGACTAGCAATCTTTCAAACAATCATAGACCAAGAGCAGTAGACAGCACCATGCATGCAACACTTCAATGTTCTCATCGCCTCCTCACCTGTCCAAAACGCGGCAAGTTGATAGTCAACATTGTTGAGTGTTGACATAGTTAGATACTCCGTCAACTCATTGTTGAGTGTTGACATCTAGAGAGAGATCGTTCCACTCCCTTCCCTATATAAGCATACGAGCTCTCCACTTCAAATCAGCCTCACTCTTCACTCTTCAGTCTTCCCTCTAGAGAGAGATCGTTCCACTCCCTTCCCTATATAAGCATACGAGCTCTCCACTTCAAATCAGGCAACCACCTCAGGACACACACATCCACCGATTGCCACCATTCCCATCATGGCGATGGCCAGGAAGCCTTCCTGCGCTCTCCCTCTCCTCCTTGTAGCCTTCCTCTGCTTGACATGCTCTGTTTGTGCTCGCTTCGACGATGACTACGACGATCCGAGGTACGGCCCTGGGGGATTCGGCCGTGGTCCCGGCTTTGATCGTGGCCCAGGAGGCGGCTACGGGCGCGGTCCGCGCTTTGGACGTGGACCGTTTGGCCGTGACTGCCGCTTCGGCCGCTGCCGTGGAGGTGGTGGCGGACTTGGAGGCGGTGGAGGCTTCGGAGGTGGAGGTGGAGCTGGTGGTGGCCTTGGAGGTGGCGGCGGGCTTGGTGGTGGAGGAGGTGGTGGCCTCGGTGGTGGAGGTGGCGCAGGTGCTGGAGGAGGTTTTGGTGGTGGCGTCGGAGGTGGAGGTGGTGCAGGAGGCGGGCTTGGTGGTGGAGGAGGTGGTGGACTCGGAGGTGGCGGTGGCAAAGGCGGTGGCTTTGGCGCTGGTGGTGGCGTCGGAAGCGGAGCTGGTGGTGTTGGCGGCCTAGGTGGTGGAGGCGGCGGTGGACTCGGAGGAGGTGCGGGAGGAGGCTTCGGAGCGGGCGGCGGCGTTGGTGGTGGAGCCGGCGGTGGTGGTGGCCTTGGTGGCGGGGGTGGCGGCGGCATGGGTGGCGGTGGAGGTGGAGGGCTTGGAGGAGGTAAAGGTGGAGGCTTTGGAGCCGGTGGTGGTATGGGAGGTGGGGCTGGCGGAGGTGGCAGCCTTGGTGGTGGTGGCGGTGGAGGCATGGGCGGTGGTGGCGGCGGCGGGCTAGGCGGTGGTGCCGGAGGAGGATTCGGCGGCGGAGCGGGCGGTGGCGTTGGAGGAGGCGGCGGCGGCGGCATGGGCGGTGGTGGAGGCGGTGGGATGGGCGGTGGCGCCGGCGGCGGGTTCGGTGGCGGAGCAGGCGGCGGACTCGGTCATGGCGGTGGTCTCGGCGGCGGCGGCCTTGGACACGGCGTTGGTCTTGGCGGAGGCGGTGGTGGCGGCCTCGGCATCGGCATTGGCGTCGGCGTCGGTGTCGGGTTGGGTGCAGGGGCAGGCGGCGGCGCCGGTGCGGGTGCGGGTGCGGGTGCTGGCGGCGGTGGGCGTTGATTGAGAGATCTCCGTCGACGTCGATAGTTTAAAGAAAAAGGTGTGCATGCAGCAATGCACGCGTAATGGACGCGCGATGCTCTCCTTCCAAACCAAACCTGTGTATGTTCACGTCCTGCGCTGGAGTAGTTATGAATTACTCTCTGGTGCTGTGGTCAAATTTCCGTTAATTTCACTCCTCATGTGTTTGTTGTGTACCTAGTCTTTGCTCAAAAGAGCTTTACAAGTTGACATTATTGTCGGTGTCCAAGTGTTTGTAATAACAGTCCTATCCTAGTGTTTTTTTTTTCATGTATGTATTCCAGGCTTCCAGCTTGTTTGAACTTCAGTCTTTGGACTTCAGAGCTCAAGAGGATCTCCCACTGTGTGTGCATGAGCAGCATGATGGTCTTTCTACGTTCCCTGCAATTTTCTGAGTTTCTCTGCTTTTTAAATTTTAATGCTTTCTTCGGTTCTCCTCTGGACCTTTTTCGGAAATACAAGTAGTAGCTTGATTGGACGGCCGAGAGAAATGGTGCCCGTCAACTGGTCAGATTGAATGACTCCGTGCACATGGACATGCACAGGGAAGCTTGATCGAGGGCTCAGGTCTTCAGGATCATCATGCATTCATGCTGCATGGTCCATGCAGCCGCTGGGCTGGTAGGCGGTCGTAAATGCTTGGGAGTGGGATCGTATCGTCGATCGCCGGCCACATTCATCGGCGGTGATGATTAAACAGTTTCCTGCTCACGAAGCACACCGGAGACAACGGCGGCGGCGGCGGCGAGAATGGCTCTGCAGACCCGTAGTCCGTAGAGACGGCAGCTGTACACTGATGGATGCTCTGCCATTGACGCGGTGATCGCAGCATTGTGCCTTCCTGCCTTTGGCTCCTTCATTCCAGTTCCAGCCGTAGATCTGGCTCTTGGCAGGTCTCTGCTTAGTTCTTCCTAATATATATAACATGTTTACTTGTTTAGGCATTGTGCAGTATATATTCAGTGTAGGCATATATATTCATAATAGCATGTTCAGGAATATTCATAATAATAATAACATGTTTCGACATTAGTGTTTTAATGTCAACTTCAATTTTCAGTTGTTTGTGTCCAAGCTGTGTTCAGTATCAAGTTCTCAACTACATTTCTTTCATATATACAGCATGTTCGCTTGTTGGTTTCAGCCAAGATTTATCAGTCAGCCAACAGTGTTTTTCTCTCACAACAAACCAGCATCAGCCGGACTTATCAGTCATAAAACCAACCAGCGAAGAGAGCCATGACCTTTTCCGCGAGTTGGTGTTAGCGAACTCACGCTAGGACACTCAACTTTGCTACCGTGCGCGATTGCACGTTCCAACTGCCATATACTGTCAAGGACGAGCGTAAATACAAAGAATCGTCACGTATTCGTGTCATCTGCCTTCTAGATCTCTTTGATTTACGCACATATTCAACAAATCAGCTTATGTACCATGGATTCTATAAACTAACTAGGAGTCGTTGAAAGCACTGATTTTGGCTTGGCTTCACTCATGCATGTTCTCCTCGTGTAGATGACATTAAAAGAGGTGAATGCCGCCCGCCATCTCTTCAACATCTTGCAAGATTGTCGCAACCTCCGGGCGGTGTATACCCCTGTTTTGCCAGAGCGAGACAAGCTCCTGGGCATCCGTTTCCGCAACACCTGAGCGCTTCCGCTTCCCCGCCAAAAGAGCCGATCCAACTGATCTCAGCCATCGAGCAGAGGCTACACGGAATCTGCCCGCAGTGCAGCGCACCACCGCGCCTACTGCAGGTGGTCTCCAAACGTCTTGCTGTGTACTCTCTTTCCCCCGTCCGGAGCTTGACTGCCAATGGAGGCAGGCCTCTTGCGCCCAGTCCACTGCCAGTCCTGGCTCGATTGGAGACTTCCCATGCCGGTGATCATTTCTGTTGTTCCACAATGACCACATTCCTCACAAGATTATCTCACGGTCTTCAGACTTACAGTTAGCATTGTCCAGCAGATCCCAGGTCCTTGGTTCAGCCTAGGGATTTTGATGCCCGTGAGCTGTTTCAGGTTTTCCCAAAACCTGATGGCAAACGTACATTGTGTCAAGACATGGTATGTGGACTCCTCTTCTCTGCCGCAGAAGCCGCAGGTCCCTATCTGCTCAATGTGCGGACGGTGGAGCTTTGCTCGGGAGGGGACGAAATCATGGGAGACTCCCCACCAAAAAATCTTTATTATAGCATTAAATAAAGCGTATAACGTAATTGTAATTCTCTAGATCTTTACTTGAAGAACAAAACGGCAGGGAACTCCTCAGATCTATGGAGCAGCTGCTTAATGTTCACTTTTCATGTCCAGGACAGGTTATATACCACATACTATATGCTAAAAGAACTATGATGACCGAAGCACTTCACACAATCTCTCGACCACAGGTAGACAAGTAGCTGCAGGAAGGATCACATTTTCAATCTAGTATGCTCTAGAGGCAATTACATATAGCATTTCCCTGTGCCAGATGACCAGTACGATGCCCAGTCATTCTTTAATTGAATAACCCAAAGAACATCTGGTATCAATAACAAGACTGGGGAAAACACTGCTTTATCCAAGCAAGCAAGCTGCAGGCACTATGGGTAAGCCACATGAATCAGGAAAAGAGCAAAAAGCTACTTGTTGTCAAGGGCGTTGGCGCACAAGGTAGCAGGACCTCGTCTACGAGGCTCGTAGCCTAGATCAGGAATGGCATGGGGTTTATCCCCTGAGCACCCAATCACGAGGGAGGTGAGATTGAGAGAGGTGGGAGATTAGGAAATTGGTTGTCATTGCTTGATCCCAAATGAGGACTGGTAAACGCCTATTAAGGCCGTGTTTAGTTTGGTGAAATTTGAGAAACAAACTCCTTTCGATCCCAATTAGTATTCAATTAATTAGCCCTCTTTAATCCTCTTAACTTGTGTAATTAGTTTTTTTTTTCATCTACTTTAATGCTCCATGATCCCTGTGATGTGTAACACTTTTGCTGCTTTTTAGAACTAAACGTGGCCTAAACAAAAGGAAACAAACTTCCTAAATCCCTTAATTCTTGCCCTCTTTAATCCTCTTAACTCTTGCCTTCTTGCTGATCCCTGGAGTGTTGCTGCTGCTGGCGCCATCTAACTGTCTGCGGCCCTGGTCCTGCTGGCGCCATCTAACTGTCTGCTGCCTTCTTGCTGATCACTGAACACAGCCCCACGACACTTGTTCTGTAACATATTGACGGCCTCTTGAATGTCTTCAGCGCATGCAGTAAATCCTGCTAGATAAGTTAGGCCTTGTTTAGTTTCTCCCCAAAAATTTATATCCTATCTCATCGAATGTTTAGACACATATGTGGAATATTAAATATAGACTTAAAAAAATAACTAATTATACAGTTTGCGAGACGAATCTTTTAAGCCTAATTAGTTCATGATTTGATAATGTGGTGCTACAGTAACACATGTGCTAATGATGGATTGATTAGGCTTAATAAATTCGTCTCGCGGTTTATTGACGGATTTTCTGTAATTTATTTTTTTATTAGTATCCGAACACCACATACAATATCCCCATCTGATATCCGATATGACACCCCAAAATTTTACGCCCTAAATTTAAACAAGATATAAATACATGGCATAACAATTATATACGGGAGAACTGGAGAAAAAGCAGGGAGCTGTGGCAGTACTCTTATCCAGTGTTTGTCGCTTGTTGTCTGTCAAATTGTTTGTGTTCCAAACCTGTTGATCTACCAACACGTGGTCACAGTCCTTTTCTTGTTCATATCTATTATTTTCTGCTGCAATACCGGTATTGCCTTCACAAGACCTACAGGTGAAGTACAGTTGAATAGGCATACTTTCTGATCAGGTAACTAGCTGATCGCTTAATCGATATGATCACAGCTTATTTTCTCTCACACATGATACAATATTTTTCTCTCATAAGCCACGAAACGATCAATCAGCAGGGGTAATAGATAGGATTGATAAATGGGTAGAAGCTTTATCTAGATTAAGGCTCCATATGAACTTTTTTATTTATGTCACATGTTCCATAACAATATTGAGGTTACATGAAATAAAAGACTAAGGGCCTGTTTGGCAAGGTTTCTCTCCGGCTCCTCAAAAAGAGCCATGCCAAACGTTTTATAGGAGGAGCCGTTTTTCAATGAAAAATAGAGCCACAAACTGGAACTCCTCCAAAACGGCTCCAGCTCATCTGGATGAGCCCCTTAGAAGGAGCCCTGCCAAACACCCCCTAAAGAACATCAAATGAAAAGAAGTGACAGAGTCCACAAATTTTTTACCAGTTTTCTTGCTAAAGCTAACACATGGGAGCAGAAAACTGCAATGGCTTTTTTCCCATGATGTAAAACTCCTTCCAGTTTGCAGTGTGCAAATATTTAACGTTTTGGAGAATGACAGTCTCCAAAGATAAATTTGACCACTATTTTCTATTAGAACATAGCTGAACATCCTAACAAATTTATGCTTTTATGAAAGTACTTCCAAGACAAATCTCCTTCCAGTTTGCAGTGTGCAAATATTTAACGTTTTGGAGAATGACAGTCTCCAAAGATAAATTTGACCACTATTTTCTATTAGAACATAGCTGAACATCCTAACAAATTTATGCTTTTATGAAAGTACTTCCAAGACAAATCTATGCATATGAAAAGTTTCTAAACTAAAAACACTAAAAGTTAACTCTGATTAGTTTTAAAAGTTGAGCCCACGCTAGCATTAAAGAATTGCAATGTGGTATCAGATTGTCAAACAAGGCATGAAAGAAAATCTTTAACACAAAGGCCTAAGGTTGTCATAACACAACATCATTTCACCAAGTTCCAGAACTAGTAATGATAAACAATTGAGCAGCTTGGAGCTCTGATCAGGTTGATAAAACAGTTAATTCCTTAACTCCTTGCTGTAAGGAAAACCAATAATATCACTTGCCATCAAACATTAAAATTGTAGCATTGGTGTCAATATTAAAACTGTAGCATTGGTGAAGTACATAATCATGTTCAACTTTCACATGTAATACTGGACAGAGGACAGAACTGATAAAAGTTAATCAGAATAGATCAGATGATGTACCCTTCTCAGCATCCCTTTTTTTGTATTCAACTACTAAATAGTGTAACTATGTCGTACCTTCAAAATTTTCCTGCACGGATTTGTCTTCAAACAACTTTTGTATCTCAGAGACAGATGAATCAAGTTGTCTTTTGTATGTAGTTTGCCTTTCCAATGACAACATCTCTCTTTCAAGATTTTGAGACTCCTTGTTAGCCTGGTGAAAAGTAAGAAACACTAGCAATTGTTACAGAAATCTAGATATATTATAAGCTGATTCAGGCCCTGTTTGGTTGGGCTTTTGGCTTTGGCTTTTAGCCCCAAAAGCCCAACCAAAGGGGCTGTTTTTTGAGGGTGTTTTTTCAGAAGCAGCTGCTTTTCCGTAGTTTATTTTTGAAAGCTGGTTTGACCCTGCTTTTGGCTTTTGGCTTTCTGCTTTTCGAAATTGGTGGAATAAAAAGCTCTTCCATAGTTGTTTCAAGAGAGATAAAGATAAAAGGTATATTTTATACTTGTTTAACCAAACAAACTTTCACTTTTCTACTCCACATTACAATGACTTTTTTCCACGACTCACATTCAAGACTTTCTCCCACAGCCACAGCTCAACCAAACAGGGCCTCATTACAACTAAGGTGCTTACACTTTCAAGCTTTCTCCTTAAGGAGTCAAGTTCCAAATTCAAATCTGAAGTCTCATCTTTGTGTGATTCTTTTGCACAAGAACTATCCTGAGTCATTTACATTACGATAACATGTGAGATGAGGGAATGAAGAAAATGTGAAATAAAGCATCACTACATTCATTAACAAAAGACACGCAGGTTTATTAGTTACTGCAAGCAACAACAAAAATCAAGCTTAACCGATGTTGCATATAGATTGGTAATTATTAAGATCAGTGTGAATAATGGTATTACAATTATGCATTCACCAGAAAGGCCAGAAACACTGGTTTAAACAACATCAAACTTGCAAGGCTGTAAGAAATTATATTCAGTTAAACAAAACTCAGTATTCCATGCCCCTTCTCAAGAAAACTAACCCAGCAGTTTAGAAGATGCTCTAACCAATATTGAATCCATAGCCTCTTCATTTTTATGACTGCAAAAGAGTGTGTTGGCATCTGTAATTAAATGTTTACTGTTTACATCAATAAAGAAGAATCAGATTTCTAAATTATGAACCTTCATGAGCACAAATGAAACTTTTACACAGTATGAATGTAACTTAAGCATGCTGGGGTTAAATCTTTAACGTTAGGATAAGGTACGTACATCTTCAGCGGCCACAAAACCTTCGGGTACATCGAAGCAATGCCGTAAGCAGAATTTCTTCCAGTTGGCCATTCTCTTATCCAGTCGATCCTTTACGACATGGTGAATAGCATTTAATCCCTGCAGAGAAAACATAGAGATACTTCTACTTATCATAACGGTCCTGCTGGTCCAAAAAAAGACAAAACAAGAATTTGCAGCATAATAAATGTTATGAGACGCCTTTTAGAAGAGAAGATGTGATAATAAATGGCAGCATAAGTTAAACAAATTAACTGCCAAATGTACTAAAAGTCTAAAACATGTTATGGAGCTTGCAATACACAAGTACAACTGACTAAAACATTTGAGGCACCCAAGTATCAAGTGCAATGCTATGGTCGGAAGCTTAGTCCACTGTAGATCCCAATGCACACAATGAAGTCATGCATTTCAGTTCTCTGTTTTTTCATGGTAAAGCTCTGCAAACAAGCAGAAGCAAAAATGTGCACAGCACTTAGTGAATCAGCTAATGGTCTCCACACCACTACATAAAGAACATCCAGGGAATCTGATAACATGCGGGAGGAATATGAATTCAGGTGCAGTGCAGAACAACTTTCATGTTTCGTTTTAACCATACTCTGGAACTTCATTCAGTATCCATGTACACTTAAAATCTGGCGGAGAAGAAATTTATTGTGTCTCAGGGTATCAGCGCACACCATGGTACTCAAACATTTGACACAGTTTAACGTTCCCAATGATTAGCGGGATGGAATTAACTAGCAAGGAACATGAATTAAACAAGGGCAGACAACCAACTATCCATTTCATCCCCATATCCAAATCCAACCCACGAATTGAGCAGTATCGAATCATGATGCGGGAATCCGTCCCTTACCCGCTGGAGATCAGTGGCCTTCTCTACAGCCTTGGCGGCGCGACGACCCCTGGTGCGGCCGCTGCCCTGGAGAAGAAAAGCGACGAAAAAATAGCAAGTTAACAAACCTAGGTCGACGGCGAATGAGGGGAGAGAAATCGGCTAAACAGAACACACGCACAAAAAGATACGGAGGGAACGTAACTGGAGGCAGTACTCGAAGGCCCCGGCACTGATGTCGGCAATGATGCCGTGGACCTCGTCGACGAAAAGCTGCGGGTTCAGCCCTAGCGCCGCCGCCGCCACGCTCTCGCCGCCGTCTTCCATCGCCCCGCTTCTTCTTCTGAGTCTTCTGAGCTACTCAGTCTTCAGTGGCGAATCCAGAGACGGATTGTCGGCTTCGTAAACCCGGCTCCTCGTCTACCGGCTCCCAAGAAAGGCTCGGTCCAGCACACAGTGCCGTAAACGATGCGCAACTCTGCGCCGGCAAAAAAAAACCTAAACGACAGGTTAAAAGGACGATTCAAATCTCCAACTGAAAGATCTAACCGAGAAGGAACGGTGCCTGCTTCTGACTTCGACCCGCCTCTTCGACCGGAAGAAGAACAGCGCTCGCTTCCGACTCTAGCCTGTCTCCGGACGGCCTCTCCGACCGAAAGCCCTGGCCAAACACCACTTCTGACTTCGACCTGCGTCTCCGACCAGAGATTCGTCGAACCACTGCTCACAGCTCTTGTCCAACTGGCGCAATCAGAGCCGACTGGGACCAACTGATCAGGGACGCCCGCTCGGTAAGGACTAGGAAACGGACGGAGAAAATAAGACAAGACACTCAAGTCAACCGCAATATCAAGGACCGTACCATGTACACCTGCAGGACAGTACCTTCCGACCTTTCCAAACAATGTTGTAGGCGCCGACATTTTTTCTACAATATTATGGGCGCCATCAACTCCCATACCAGACAAACACGGTAAAGGCTCCCCCCATATGCCTCTGGACATCAACAGTGTTGTGGGCGTCGGTATTTACCGTGCCAGGCAAGCACGTTAAAACCCCTTGCATGCCTCTGTGTATGAACAGTATGGCAGGCACCGATGTCTGCTATACCAGAAGAAGATGACGCAACCTCACATATGCATCTAACATCAACAGTGTTATGGGCGCCTACAATCATCTTATACCCGACGGCGTGGGCAACAAGACTTAACATACGTACACTCTCTCCCTCTCAGTTATAAGGCCACCCCTTTCATCTATAAAAGGGAATGCGCTCTCTCCCAACAGAGAGATCGATCAGTTCACTAACACACAACAGCAGAATCACTAGGTTCAAACCTCGAGCACACGCGCAAACACTTAACACATAGCGGAGCTCCCGTCACTCTCGGTCCTTCCGACCGGACCTCTCATACCCTCTATCTTTCTCCCTTCTATTTGTAACCCCACAGCAAACTTCGAGCACCTGGGCACAGGAATAAAGTCACCAATCGACTCAAACTGGACATAGGGCATGTTGTCTGAACCTGTATAAACTCTATGTCATTGAGTGCTAGGCCACCTCCGATCACAACGTACAACAAAACTACAAATATTTACGTGTTGATTACTTTCTGCACCGACAGTTGGCGCCGTTCGTGGGGAAGACGTTGTACGTTCACACTTTTTAGTCATCGCCATGATGGGCTCAAGCGATACAACTCGCTTCGGCTCACTGGAGTTTTCCGCACTCCCACCTGTTGGATGAGGGTTCCTCCCGTCTTTGAGCCGTCTCAGGCCTTTTTCTTCGGAAGCCTGGACTTCATCGCCAACCGGCTCGGCGTACTACACCTCCGAGAGAAGGCACTTGTTCCGGCGCCCGTCGGAGGGGCACCCTCCATCGGCTTCGGGACACATTATGACTTCAACGACGAGGCGCTTGCGCTTCAATCCGAGCAAACGCTCTACTCAAATCCCACTGTGAGTAATGTATATACTGTTATTTACTCGCTATTTATTATCTTCCGTCGATTATTCGGAGGGACCGTATTGTTCGCACCGCAAACACCGTATGACCGGTTCCCCTGCGGCCTCGCGTCCCCCGCGGATGCATACGCTCGGGGGCTCTGAAGGACGCTGGCGCCGCCCCCTCTCACATCTGAATTCGTGGGAATGGCGAGCTATGCTCCCACCACTTTCCACGAACTCCTGGATGACGAGTTTGAAAGCAATGGCTCCAGCATCGGCGATGTGGCACCTAGCCACCGTCCATCCCGGGAGTGCGCTATGGCGGACACTCTGGGATAGCCGCCAGTGGTAGCGGAGTCTTTGTAGACTCACACCCCTCCAGACCCGCGTGCGGGGGCCCTCGCGCTCGTGCAAGAGCACGTCAAGGAGCTACGACAAAGGCAGCAGAACATGCCGACGCGCTCGGTGCAGCACGTTGCGACCCATGCGCGTGACCCGACGAATGGTGCCCGGGGTCGCGCCCGTCAGGTCCAGCGCCACATCATGAAAGAGGGGAACGACCCCCCATAGTTCGCTCGAGCTATCCAGAACATCGCCGCTGTGGCAATGCTTCTGTGTGGCGTTCCCGAGCCCGTCAACCCCCAGGAGCGGGCGGTCTACCGGAACCTCCGAGCGTTGGTGGAAGCCGCCGCCATTCAATAGACGGAAAGCTCCGCATCGTGACTCCGACTCGCGCCCTCTCTCCCCACTAGAGGAGTGGGAACACACCAGACAGATTGCTCCATCCGCTCACCGCTATAGCTGGCAAGCGCGGCTCGGGAGGCCGCGGCTACGCCGCGGTCCGACCTGGCGCCTGCTCCACACCGACCACCGGTACACGAATGGCTCGGTTCGCACCAAGACACTAGCAGCGTCATCAGCAACCGGCATCAGGCCCGGTATGATGATGACGTCCTTCAGGCGACGGCGAGGGCAAGCGACACGGGCCCCGGCCGGACCATCGAGGGGAGCGGTGAAATGCGCCCCAGGCATGGTCGCCGGCTAGAATACCAGAGTCCTAGCCCGGATGGCCCGGGACCATGGGCCTTTGGCCGACATATCCGGAGAGCACCGTTCCCACAGCGCTTTCGACCGCCCACCAACATAGCCAAGTACACCGGGGAGACGAACCCCGGTATTTGGCTCGAAGATTTTCTGGCTCGCCTGCCGAGCCGAAGGGGTGGATGATGACCATTTCATCATTCCATATCTTTCCATCTGCTTGGGGGAACATGTTCGGGCGTGGCTTGAATTCCTCCCACATGACAGCATCCACAACTGGGCGGACCTCAAGAGGGTTTTCGTCAGAAATTTCTAGGGGGCGTATGTCCGCCCTGGTAACTTCTAGGACCTCAAGAGCTGCCAACAGGAGCCCAGCGAGTCCCTACGGGATTACATCCGTAGGTTTTCCCAATGATGCAACTCCCTCCCTGATGTCATCAACGCAGACGTCATCAGCGTATTCCTCTCCGAGACAACCTGCGAGTCCCTGATCCACAAGCTTGGCTGCCTGAAGCCCCGTACCACCCGCGACCTGCTCGATGTCGCCACTAACCACGCCTCTAGTGAGGAGGCGGTTGGAGCGGTCATCAACGGAGGCTAGGACAAAGGCAAGGCCAAGCGCGGGGACCAAGACGAGGGCCCCTCCACATAGAGGGGCAAGAAGAACAAAAAGGATCGGCGCCGATGGGGCAACACCGTGTTGGTCGCCGCAGCTGATCGCGCGGGCAAGCAGCCCCAGCAGAGCCTGCCTGACCACTTCAACAAGCTCATGGATAGCCCATGCACCAACCATGCCTACCCCGTCAAACACCTCTATAATGGCTGCAAGCTCCTCAAACATTTCCTACGATAAGCCGACGGGCCGAAAGAAGGAGATGGCAAAGAGGCGGCAGCCAGGAAGGGAGGCACAGCAGGTAAGGACGAGGACAGCTTAACCGACCCCAAGGAATGCATCATGATCTTTGGGGATCCGACGCCATCTGCTCCAAGCGCCAGCACAAGGTATGCTACAGGGAGGCATGCTCCGCCGAAATGGCCGTCCCCTCCTTCCTTAGCTGGTTGGAATCTCCGATCACCTTCGATTAGAGGGACCATCCCTCCCACGTCATGAGACCGGGATGCTACCCACTCGTTATCGACCCCATCGTCCGCAAAAAGCGCCTCACCATGGTGCTCATGGACGAAGGCAGCGGCCTCAACATCCTCTACATCGACACCCTCGACACCATGCGTATCCCCGGTCAGAACTCCACCTAGTGGGCTCTCCCTTCCACGGTGTGATCCTAGGACCACAGGCGTACCCACTCGGGCAGATCGACCTACCCGTCATGTTTGGCAACCGAGCCAACTTCCGCTCGGAGGTCCTCACCTTCGAAGTGGTGGACTTCCCAGGGTCCTACCACGCCATCTTGGGGCGGCCATGCTACGCCAAATTCATGGCGGTCCCCAACTACACCTACCTCAAGCTGAAGATTCCAAGACCGAACGGCGTCATCACCATGGGCAGTGCCTTGTCACACACCTTCACGTGCGATCGCAAGCATTTCGAGCTCGCCACCGCGGTTATTAACTCGTCCGAGCTCCCACAGCTCGGGGAGTCGTCGACCCCAGCAGTCCCGGACTACAACAAACCAACCTCCTCTATGGCCTTTCGTCCACTCGAGGAAACCAAGGCGGTGGGGATCGAACCCACTGACCCAACCAAGACGGTGCGGATCGGGACCTAGCTCCCGGCCAAATTGGAATGCGAGCTCGTCGACTTCCTACGTGCCAGTCATGATGTCTTCGCATGGAAGCAATCTGACATGCCGGGCATACCGCGGGATGTCGCCGAGCATGCACTACGCCTCATCCCAGGCTCGAAGCCCGCTAAGCAACGCCTACGTCGCTTCAACGATGAGAGACGCAGGGCCATAGGCGAAGAGATCGCCAAACTCCTGGCAGTCGGATTCATCAGAGAGGTATTCCACTCTAACTGGCTTGCTAATCCTGTTCTTGTTAAAAAGAAGGCTGGGAAATAGAGAATGTGCATTGATTATATTGGCCTCAACAAAGCATGTCCAAAGGATCACTTTCCTTTGCCGCGCATAGATCAGATAGTCGACTCCACCTCGGGTTGCGAGATCCTCTCCTTTCTAGATGCCTACTCAGGCTATCATCAGATCGCAATGAAAGAGTTCGATCAGCTCGCAACCTCGTTCATCACCCCGTATGGTTTGTACTGCTATGTAACCATGCCTTTCGTCCTGAAGAACGTTGGCGCCACCTACCAAAGGTGCATGCAGCAATGCTTCGCTGACCAAATCGACCTGCTCGATCAGCCTAATCAAGCCGAGTGG